CTCAGGAAGTATGATAAGGCAGTCATGATCCACCGGTCAGAGCTACCATCCCTTATACCCGGGGAGAACTTCGACAAAATTTCAATGGGAGCACAGGAGAGCGTAAGAGAAGCTGCATATGAAGGTGTCTAGACCACAGGCCCTCGGTGTCTAGTTGTTTGCAGGTGACCTATCCATACGCGTCCTCATGCTCCAGCTGTGGCTCAGGCTCTGAGACCAGGAGCTGTCAGTGACAGCTTGGTCACATTTCCCGGGGTCCACAATTCAGCTCTCTCAGCATAAACTCAGGTAAGCATATATGTGGCAGTATGGGATAAGGCCCACTGGGTGCTTTCATATTTATCTTGATGGCCAGTGGGAAGGGGTTAATAACAACATAAGATGTGCAATAATATGTCTAGCACAACATATTGATTTACCAAAAGCTGCAGAATGCAAAATCAGCTCTGCACCAAGAAACCAATCAGCTTTAAGTTTTTTTTTTGTTAAAGCTTAATTGAACAAGCTGAAGTAAGAAGATGATTGGCTACCATGCACAGCTGCACCAGATTTTGCACTCTCCAGTTTTAGCAAATCATTCCCCTTGTCCTGATCATTATTTCAGATCCACTTTTAATGAGTTATCGTTAATATTATATGTATTTGTTTTTTTATTTACACACCCGCGGCCCCATTCGAGGCCTCAGTTGTCAATTTCCAGGTCCCAGCCAGTAATTTCTCGCTGGCACCCAGTGATCACCGAGTATAAACAACACAGATCTCTCCCCTGGCAGCTCCTACACACTGCTTTGTATGGCTCTGCATAGCAGAGCCATACAAAGCATTGTGCTTACAGTAAAGCACAACACACAGCCTCACAGTAAAACAGCACAGAGCACACAGTTAACCCTTTGATCACCCTACACATGTTAACCCCTTCCTGCCCAGTGCCATTAGTACAGTGTCATTGCTTTTTATTAGTACTGATCACTGTATTGGTGTCACTGTGGATGTCAGTGACACCAAGTCAGTTCCCCCCAGTGTCAGAATGCCTGCCGCAGTCCTGCAGTCCCGCTATAAGTCACTGATCACTACTATTACTAGTAAAAAAAAAATTCCAGTATATATACCACCATTTGTATAACTTTCACGTAAACCAATTAATTTACACGTATTGGGATTTGTTTTAGCAAAGACATGTCGCAGAATAAATTTTGGCCTAAATTTATGACTTAATTTGATTTTTTTTTATTTTTTTCTGGACATGTTTTAATAGAAAAAAGTAAAAAATATTGTTTTTTTTCTCAAAATTGTTGGTCTTTTTGTGTTTATAGTGCAAAAAATAAAAACCGCACAGGTGATCAAATACCACTAAAAGAAAGCTCTTTGTGGGAAAAAAAGGATGCAAATTTCATTTGGGTGCAGCGTTGCATGATCGCGTAATTGTTAGTTAACATAACGCAGTTCCGTATCTCAAAAAATGGCCTGGTCAGGAAGGGGGGTTAATCCTCCGGAGGGCAAGTGGTTAAAAAGCACTCTTTACTTACCCAATTCTCTGCTCAATCAGGCTGCTCTGGGCTGCTAGATCAGTGCCCAGAGCTTTTTCTACCCTGCACTCCAGTAGTGTAAGGTCCTCTGACATCATTAAGACTAATTCAGGACCCATAGCCATGCATTGGATGTGAGGACATAGTTACCTAGTTAGTCAGTCTGAAAAAATACATACGTCCATTCAGTTCAGCCAGTAGAAGAAATAACAAAGAGAATAAATAAATAGAAAAACCCCATATACTATACAACAGAATCTTATACCCACAGTTGATCCAGAGGAAGACAAAATTTAATAATGTATGGTACAATTTTCTCCAACAGAGGAAAAATCCTTCCTATTCTCCCAGAAGGCAATCATATACTGTATTCCTTGGATCAACAATCTCTAGTGGCATTACCTAAAATGTTAATATCCAAATATTCAGTTATGTCTTGTGCATTTAGGAATGCATCTAGCTCTTTTTTTAAAGAATGTACTAAGTTGGCTAGAAACTCTGTTTCTTTATTCCACATTTTCTCGACTTACTGTGAAGAAGTTCACTATCTGGACCACTTTTGTATTTGGTGATTTTAACCTCCCTTATTTGCCGCTTCTCAAGTTCTGCTAATCTATAATTATAGCTGAGCTCCTCCATGCCTCTTTTGTTCATTTGATTGCTCTGTTCTACACTTTCTCCAGTTCTCTGATATCCTTTTTGTGAACTGGCGGCTAAAACTAAACTGCGTATTTTAGATGAGGTATTACTAATGCTGTGTACAGGGCAAAATTCTCTCTCTCCCTCTCCTCTCTCTCTCTCTCTCTCTCTCTCTCTCTCTCTCTCTCTCTCTCTCTATATATATATATATATATATATATGTAGGATATATTTTTTTTTGCTTACTTTAGAGCTATAGCTTGGAATGACATGTTATTATTACCATGGGCAGACTGACCAATTTGAGCACTTGGGCACTGCCCGAGGGCCCGGGGGTCAGTAGGGGGCCTCATAAAATGCCCCTGGTACCCCTGGTACCTTTTATAGGCTTTTTTTGGGTGTGTTTTGAGTGTTGGCAAGGACACAGGGGCCCTATGATCCCCAATTGCCTGGGGGCCCCATGAGTTGTCAGTCCGCCGCTGATTATTACATGTTTGATCTACCAGAACAGCCAGATCCTTCTTCACCATTGACTCCCCCAGTTGTACTCCCCCTAGTATGTATAATGCATGCATATTCTTAGCCCCCAAGTGCAGAACCTTACATTTACCAAGAAGGCAAACCTCATTTGCCATGTAGTTGCCCAATTAAATTAGTGCATTGAGGTCTGCTTGTAAGCTGGAGGCAACCTGTAAGGACATTCCATTATATAGCTTGGTGTAATCTATAAATACAGAAATGGTACTTTAAATCCCAAACTCTATTTCATTTTTAAATAGGTTAAAGAGACAGTCCACCACTGAAGCATGAGGTAGCAAAGGATTAGGTAAGCACAGTGCTGTTACTGTCCCCCCAGACATACATAAGCAGTTAACCCTTGCAGTGCAGGCACTAGTAAGAGGGCTTTGAGCCCCAAAAATGGGAAAATGGTGTCAGCAGAGGTTCCCAAATGTGAAGGAGGAAACTGAGAAGTGAATTTTTAATAAATGCAATATTTTGTTCACAGAATGGTAAAAAAAACAGTCAATGCATTTCATGGTACTACACTAGCCACTTCCTCAGAATGGTGCATAAAAGATGCTCACACAAAACCCTTGGAGCCGCCATCCCCGCTGTCCTCATAACTTTAAATCCTCCATCAACTGGCACCACCCCACTGCAAGGGATGAGTTTTAGTGTCACTGGAGTTGGGCATGGATGAGGTGTATACCACTTCCAGAATCTCTGCCGTTTCTTTATTACTTACAGTTTCATTGATGCAAGATAGTAGAGCTCTTGCTATGCTTCCAGAGTGCTGACTCTGATAACTCTTCCGCTCATACACAGAAGTTATATTATTGTTTTTCTGACCCTCCTCTCCTCTTGTTCATTCACAGAATGAATTGTAGTTTGTGAATACAAGGCTTTCAGTGAATGGACAAAGGAAGAGAAAGGAAGGGTATTAGATTACTTCTGTGTATGTGAGCCACAGATAGAATATGGAAGGGTTAGAATCTCTGTCAGGATGTTTTTGCTGCCATTGTACCCACTGGGCAGATCCCCCCACTCATTTTGTTTTGGGGTTCATGGTCACCAGGACAGAAACGTAAAGCAAAGCCAAGACTTTTAAACTTGTCTCTTGGACAGGAATAGTGGACAAATACTTTCAACTGGAACACCTGTTCCAGTGGCAACATGACAAATTATTTTTCACTCACTTTGGAGCAATGTCCCCTATTTTCTGTAGTGTCTGTGTAGTGTAGTGCTTGTACCCAAGACAGGGAGTGAAGGGAAATCACAATAATGGCACATAAAAAGCAAGAAAATGCTCTGACAGGGTTTTTAATCTCTTTACTCTCTCTTTCAAGCAAAAACATTTTTCTCTTTAAATATACTTTAAGAAGCAAGTCTCCCAATCCAGCCATTTTCTAATGGCTGTGATACTATTTGTATTAACTTACATTGGTATTTAGGTGGCAGACAGTCAAATGTCCATTAAGATCACAATCTTACAAATTTCAACAGTTTTGAAGAAGGCAAAGTAAAGACTCTTGGGTATCTACAACCAATTTCAACCCCCATTTAGAAAAAAAAAAAAAAGATTAGCTCCTTGAATTAAAGAAACATAATAATCTACATGATTATAGCTTTGGATGCTCTTATTTTTTAAGAAAAATCATCCAAAATGTTTTTAATATTGATTTGTCATTATGTTATTCTGTGGTACAGTATACTGCAGCTTAAACCTTTCTTACATAGAAAAAATACCTACACAACTGATGTCCTTTGTCTCTTGTACAGTCCTAATGATAAAGAGTTCATCTGCCAAATCTTTATATTGACCTTGGATATATTTCTACATTTTAAATTAATTCACCTCTAGGACCTCTTTTTCCTAAAGTGAACAAAGCCCAGTTTTTTAAAGCTATTTTATAAGTGAGATCTCCCATACCCTTAATTAAATTGGCTGCCCGCCTTTATGACCTCTCCAAATCATCTATATCTTTCTTACAGTATAGTTAAAAAAAAACTATATTCTATATGTCAGATACATTGTTACAAGTGACTTATACAGTGGCAATATTCAACCAAAAACTAAAATTTTATTTTATTTGCTTTCGTAGTTACAGCTTGTCTTTGAGTAATGGTGCTTATTGTGCTTAGTATTCCAAAGCCTTTATCTATGGCTGTCTTCCCATTTAGCGTATTGGGGGCAATTCCATCACTATTGCATAGCCTAGGTCAGTGATGGCGAACCTTTTTGAGCCCGAGTGCCCAAACTGCAACCCAAAACCAACTTATTTCTTTCAAAGTGCCAACACTGCAATGAAACCTGAATATCGAGCTTTTGGTTTAGAAAAAACAACTCGTACAGTAGTGCAAACTAATTAACAGTACAGGGATGACCAGAGACTGCGGACAGTACAGGGATGACCAGAGACTGCAGACACAGTACAGGGATGACCAGAGACTGCAGACACAGTACAGGGATGACCAGAGACTGCGGACACAGTACAGGGATGACCAGAGACTGCGGACACAGTACAGGAGATGACCAGAGACTGCGGACATGGTACAGGAGATGACCAGAGACTGCGGACACGGTACAGGAGATGACCAGAGACTGCAGACACAGTACAGGGATGACCAGAGACTGCAGACACAGTACAGGGATGACCAGAGACTGCGGACACAGTACAGGGATGACCAGAGACTGGGATGACCAGAGACAGACACAGTACAGGGATGACCAGAGACTGCGGACACAGTACAGGGATGACCAGAGACTGCGGACACAGTACAGGGATGACCAGAGACTGCGGACACAGTACAGGGATGACCAGAGACTGCAGACACAGTACAGGAGATGACCAGAGACTGCGGACACAGTACAGGGAGATGACCAGAGACTGCAGGACACAGTACAGGAGATGACCAGAGACTGCGGACAGTACAGGGGATGACCAGAGACTGCGGACACAGTACAGGGATGACCAGAGACTGCGGACACAGTACAGGGATGACCAGAGACTGCGGACAGTAGTACAGGGATGACCAGAGACTGCGGACAGTACAGGAGATGACCAGAGACTGCGGAAAGTAACAGGGATGACAGGGATGACCAGAGACTGCGGACAGCACAGGGATGACCAGAGACTGCGGACAGTACAGGAGATGACCAGAGACTGCGGACAGTACAGATGACCAGCTGACCTTTGGGGAGGGAGGGGGAGCGGGTACCTGAATTTGACAGGTACCCGCTCTTACTTCCGCAGAGTTTTTTTTTTATCTTACCTGTTCCTTTATCCAGCCGCGCACTGTCTTCCCGGATTCTGTAGTGTGGGCGCTCGTCGGACAGCCGGATGCCCAGTGCGCATGCACGAGAAGCGCTGCGCTTTGTGATTGGTCCGGCGGCTTCTGGGATCTGTCATGTGTCCCAGGTACCGCCCTTACCATTCACAAAGAGCACTGCTTCTTGCGCATGCGCACTTGGGACCCGGCTGTCACGCACACTACAGAAGCCGGGAAGACAGCGCGCCGCTGGATAGAGGGACAGGTACGGTCCCACTGCAGAGCTGAGCGGCTACGGCCCGGTATTCTGACACGGCGGCGGTGGAAATACCGGACCGGCCGCTCTATATTCGCTCCATAAGACGCACTGACATTTTCCCCCCTTTTTTGGGGGAAAAAAAGTGCGTCTTCTGGAGCGAAAAATACGGTATTCTCCTGGCGTGCCCACAGATAAGGCTCGGCGTGCCGGCTGTGGCACACGTGCCACGGGTTCGCCATCACTGGCCTAGGTGCTTATTTATACTTTAACATTCAATTTCATCTACCATTTAACTATGGACAATGCATTTTGTCAAGAGTTCTCACAAATTATGTTGCTATCCTACTAAGTTTTACCTTTTGTGTTGAGTTTTGTGACAGCAATAATTATTATCTTACTTTTTATTTAATCCATAAAGACATTGATAAAGAGATTTTACAGAAATAAGCCCAATGCCAATCTTTGAGGAACACCATTTTGCAGAATCACCTTCTGTTTACTGTCCTGATATTTCTCAAATTTTGAGGCCTGGCTTTCAAAGTGGTGAAGTCTGTCAGTGGTCTCTGTGGTTTGCCTTATTACTGTATGGACAGACTGGATGGTTCTAGCTTTTGTCAGAGAAATGTTGACTACAAGTCCAAGACATGCTAATGGTACACAATGAAGCCAATAAAAGTAGCCAGGTGAGTTCTCCATCACAATGACAGCTTTATGTTTACACAGACCTGATATCAGACTCCTGACTACAAAGGGAAGCATTTCCACATTATGCAGGAAGGGTCATTCTATATATCATGGACACCCAAAAGAGGTCAGTTTGCTGAGTGAACAGCTTCTACTATTTTAGTAAATCAAACCCATTGTGTGTTGACTTATTTATATAATAAACCAATGCACAGTAAAATATAACAGTTACATTTCATTTTCTTTTCACTTTAGTTTAAGTTTTCTTTTATGACATAGGTAAGGCCTAGGCATCATCTGTGACAAACATGAAAGGTCTTGGTTGTAAAAAGTTTATGGTCATGGTCATTAACAATGTTTCCCTCGTCCTTATGCCCTTTGCTTCTGTATCAGCTATTACAGTATGTAAACAGTGTCAAATGTTTTTCTGAAATTCAAATATATTACATGATCAGCAATAATAATAATATTTTATAAACAATTGCCAACATCCAGATTTGAACAAACCTCCTCAAAAATGTTATCGAGTTAGTTGGATATGACCCATCTACAATGAACCCATACTGATTTTCTGTTATTAGAGTTTTCTCCTCAGTATATTTACATACTGTAAATTTTCCTTTAGCTGTAAAGATGTGTGTGGATTAAAAAATCTAAAACTGTGTGTCATAAGACATAGCATTAACAATTAAATATGCAATAATCTTGATTAAACATTCAATTATAATTTAGGAAATAGTAGGACTAGTACCATACTTTATATAATCACGATTTGTTACAGTAGGTTAGAGTATAGTACAGAAAAGAGAAAACAATAAGTGAATAATATGTATGCAATGTTTGCCATGCAAATATGATCAGATCTTTTTAAAGTGCCATTTTACTACATACAGACTCAATAAATAAATAATTTATTTATCAAAGCAATATAGTTACAAAAAATACGAACTATGCACATATTATATATATTTTTTATGATTTCTATAATTGTTTATTATTTTTTATTACTTTCAATCTGAGTGTCTTGATGTTTTCCTGAATTTAAAATATCTATTTACATTTTTATAATTTCCTGTAAACTGTGAATTTTAAATAGGTTTCATATTGCAGTTTCATTTGATGATAACTTAAACTTAAGTAAGAACCAAAAATCATCAGAAAAAAAGGAAATATTTTGTGCACATTTTAAATCAAAGACATATGTGTGTTTTTGTGTATCTAGACATTTTTATCCTGCATCAAGTTTTCTTACAATTTAATTCATTCCTAAACAAGAGGCTACAGTCATTAAATATACATAATTTATTTCTACAAAAAAAAATGTATTTTAATTTGGTGAATGCTTAAAATAAATTTATTTTTCCACTACTGTATCTCTACTCTATATAACTATCAAAACTTTAATTTAAAATTCAAGACAACACAGGAAACAGCTCCTATCATTCTATTCTACACTTTTCATCATAAAGGCATATGTAAAAATAACAGTAAATAATAATATTAATGATTACTGTAGAAAAAAGATGTAGTTTATATAAACATTAGATATGTTTCAAGAATGAATCAATAGCAGAGCCTTTCAAAACAATATAAAGCAAAAGGACTGTTCATTACAAGAGCATTTTAACAGAAGTGCTTAAAAGTATAAAAAAAAACTCTCTTGTAAGATGTTTATACAGCATAGTTTCTGATTTTAAATATGTCAGTCATGTAATGAGATAAAAACATGTCTAAAATTGTATTTATTTTATAAGAACAGAATTCATCCATTAATTTGATTTTCTTGATCTATTCCTCTTTTGCACAATATTTTTCTTCTTGATCAGGAAGTTACTGTAGATACTTTAATGCTTGAACACTGGTAAGGTCTTTGTTACTTCTACATGTATATCATTTAAATCAGTGAACTAAGAGGAGTAATAAATATATATAGTTTTGATACAACTGTATAAACAAAAATAAGACCTAATTATTTTTATAGGTAAATGTGCAAAACAAATTCTTTTTATTATTGATTATTAATATTATTATTGTTATTATTATTAGTATCATTCAAAAAATGGAAACTGCCTTTTTAAAATAATATGGTGCATGCTGATAATTTCTGGTACAGAAAATGTATGCAGAGGATTTATGAAAACAAGGTTTGAGAACAGATAGATGGATTTTTGCTAATTCCTTATTCCATGCAATACTTTACACAAGAATGTTTTTAATACACTCCACCTCGGTTTCAGCTTTAAAGATAAACATGACTGAATTTTTTCCCCTCATCAGCCTAAATTCCGCTTGCAGGCTGGCAGGCAGCAGAACAAATTGTGATAATTGTGTTTAATTAAAAAGCCTAAATGGATTATCTGCAGGTAGGTTTGATTTATTAAACTAATCAATCAGATTACAGTGAATACATGGGCTGAAGTGTGGAATTAATTTGGAAAAGAGTGGTAAGACCTCTTCCCATCAACCTGCTAATTGTCCAAGATTTATTATGAGGATGCATCCTCAGAAAAGAGCATTTGTAAAATTTAGTCACATAGTATTTTCCTAAAGTGCCCTAATATCATCATATACAGCGAAGAGAGTTATATATGTCCTCTTCTCAGAATAACAATCACATTTTACATTACTTCAGCAGTAATGCAAACATACAATAGATTTTTTACAAATGCAGCTTTTCACAAAAAGTGTTATGTATTTCATACATTCTGCCTTAGAAAGTCTGTGCTACTGCTAGGCATTATTTATGATTAAGATGAATTGCCAAGAAAACGAAAGAGGCCTGTGCGGATAGGATGGTACAAGAAACACAGAATAGCAAATACAGTAATATATTTTTAACAGTAGGCCAAAGAGCTATCAACCACAATGCAGCCTTGTTAAAGGTTAAAAAAATGTTAAATGGTTAATCCTTATTTAATAGTAAATGCAGGTACTTAGTGGAAAATAATCGCAACTCTAACTATACCAGTAAGAAAAACTGTAACAACGATTAGATAGATAACGCAAAGTTAGTTTTATGTTTATGATTTTTTTAAAGGAGAGCAATGACGTACTTAACTTATTAATAGTTTATATTTATATATATATATATATATATATATATATATATATCCTGAATTTATATTTGTCTGAGGTTAAGCTATAGTATATTAACTTATATCTAGATATATATTTTAGATATAAGTTTAACTCATTTTTGCATTTGTTATATTTCCATTACTATATTGAAAATAAAAAATGTGTAAAGTCTCTTAGATTGTAAGCTCCTAACCCTCTTGTATTGAACTGTATTGTTGCTGTATTGTCTTCCGTTATATTGTAAAGCGCTGAGAAAACTGTTGGCGCTATATAAATCCTGTATTATAATAACAATAATAATAATAAAGTCTTTATAAATTCAGCATCTTAAAAAAAATCTTAGTGTTCGTTCACACCATCCGTGCAGCAAATTTGGTGGAAACTGACGCGCAGATTTTACATGCGGAAACAGCAGTTTACATCAGTTTTCATTGATGTTTCAATGAGTTTTATACACATTGCAGACTTCTGTGCAGGAAAAATCCACACCTGATGCTAGTGTTATGGTGTGAACAGAGCATATAGAGAACAATTCATTTCACAGTACCCTTGCAGAATGCATGCAGAAAAACTGACATCTCTGCACCATGGTGTGAACAAGCTCTTAAAGTGGTAGTAAAATGTGTAGAAAAAAA